CTGGGACCAGGTAAACCATGTCCTAAACGAAACATGTTGGGAAGATGTCTTAAATGACATGGATCCAAACCAGTGCCTTGAAAGGATCAACTTCCTGGTAGCCAAACCATGTTCTAGGCATATTCCCCTAAGAAAGAAGAAGAGCAGGAGTAAACTGGAGAGAAAAAGACGCTCCCTCTACAGAAGACGACGAAGAGTCACTGAGCTCCTCAGGAGTGCTAGAACATCTGATACACGAAAGGAGGCGCTGACCAGGGAAGTGGAAACTATCGAACTTAAGCTAAATGACTCTTACAGGAACCAGGAGAGGCAGGAGGAGCTTAAAACTATTAGTGAAATTGAAAGAAATTCAAAATATTTCTTTTCATATGCCAAAAACAAGGCAAATACCACATCTAGTATCGGGCCCTTACTCAGACAGGATGGGACTTACACAGATGACAACAAGGAAATGAGTGAAATATTGAGATCCCAGTACGACTCTGTGTTTAGTGAACCACTAATCGGTCTGAGGATCGACGACCCAAATGATTTCTTCATGAATGAGCCTCAAAACTCCATAAATGTATGCCAGATTTCCGACATTACCCTAACTCCGATAGATTTCGAAAAAGCCATTGACAACATGCCCTATGCACTCAGCCCCGGGCCCAGACTCGTGGAACTCTGTTTTCATTAAGAACTGCAAGAAACCCCTCTCGCGTGCCCTAAGTACACTATGGAGGAGGAGCTTGGACATGGGTGAAATTCCACAGTCACTTAAAGCAATGGATATAGCCCCACTCCATAAAGGTGGCAGCAAAGCATTAGCTAAGAACTATAGACCAATAGCTCTGACGTCCCACATCATAAAAATCTTTGAAAGAGTGCTAGGAAGCAGGATTGCAAATCACCTGGATTCCCAAAATCTGCACAATCCAGGGCAACATGGGTTCAGGGCAGGTCGCTCCTGCCTCTCACAACTACTGGATCACTATGACATGGCCTTGGTGCACCGGGAAGAAAATCAGAATGCAGATGTAATATACACAGACTTGCAAAAGCATTTGACAAATGCGATCATGGCGTAATAGCCCATAAAATACTGCTAAAGGAATAACTGGGAAAGTGGGGAGATGGATCTTCAACTTCCTAACAAATCGAACACAAAGATAGGGTTCAACAGAGTTAAATCGGAGGCGCCATAGTGAAGAGTCCTGTTCCACAAGGCACAGTACTCGCCCCCATCTTTTTCCTTATCCTCATATCAGACATAAACAGAGATATACACCACAGCACCGAAATCATCCTTTACGGATGATACTAGGATCTGCATGAGGCTGTCATCTGCTGAGGATGCAGTTAATCTCCAAGAAGATATAAACAAAGTTTTCCAATGGGCAACGGTAAACAATATGATGTTCAATGAGGACAAATTCCAACTACTCCATTATGGAAAACTGGAGGAGATAATAACTAAACAGAGTATACTACTGACTCCAGCCATACAATAGAGCAGAAAACTAATGTAAGGGACCTGGGAGTAGTAATGTCTGAGGATCTCACTTTCAAGGATCACAACAGTGCCACGATCGCAAGTGCAAAGAAAATGATAGGATGGATAATGAGAACTTTCAAAACGAGAGATGCCAAGCCCATGATGATCCTTTTCAAATCACTTGTTCTCTCTAGGCTGGAATACTGCTGTACATTAACATCTCCATTCAAAGCAGGTGAAATCGCAGATCTAGAGAGTGTACAGAGATCCTTTACTGCACGTATAAGTTCTGTCAAGCACCTTTACTACTGGGAACGCTTGGAAGCACTTGACTTGTACTCGTTGGAACGCAGGAGGAGAGATATATCATAATCTACACTTGGAAAATCTTGAAGGAATGGTCCCAAATCTGCACACAGAAATCACTCCCTACAAAAGTAAAAGACTGGACAGGCGATGCAAAATGCCCCCAATAAAAAGTAGGGGCGCCATTGGTACACTAAGGGAAAACACCATAAGTGTCCGGGGCCCAAAACTGTTTAACAGCCTCCCATCAAGCATTAGGGGAATTGCCAATAAACCCCTGGCTGCCTTCAAGAGAGAGCTGGACAGATACCTAAAGTCAGTGCCGGATCAGCCGGGCTGTGGCTCGTACGTTGGACTGCGTGCGGCCAGCAGTAACAGCCTAGTTGATCAGGCCCTGATCCATCGGGAGGCCTGGTCATGGACCGGGCCGCGGGGGCGTTGATCCCCGGAATAACCTCCAGGTAACCTCCAGGTAGGTCCCTACATAAGTGTGAAGGCTGAAGGTGTAAGCAAACTAATGAAATGGGCTCCACACACACAAAGAGTCAGGTGGCTATCAATGATATATGTCCTCAGTCGACAATCATCTCAATGTGACGATTTCTGTTGAATAAAGAGGGTCATACACCGAAGTATTGTTGAACACTGTATAACTTGTTGCTAATCTGTAGGGCCCGTTGTGCCCACTTCCTAAAGACTCTTCTGTGTATGTAGCTCATAAGTCACTATGAGGCAGACGTCTGCTACACAGGAAGCTCTAAATAGCAGCCTTTGCCTCAGAATCTGCCCATCCATTTCCCTGAACCCTGACATGGCCCAAGCAACAACAGAACACCAAATCCTTGCCCTGGGTGATGAGACCTTCAGGAAAAGTGCTCTGATACTGGTGAAGGGCTCTTGTTACACAGAAATAGAGCCAGCTTCTCCTTAGATCCAACTTGATTATCTTTCATTCCTCAGGCATACTATGATGCATTTGTGTTGCTATGAAAAACGCAAGGAAATTTATAGACTGGATAAACAGAACCCTCAAAACAAGAGAGAGCAAGCCAATGATGATACTCTAAGTCACTTGTACTTCCTAGACTAGACTATTGCTGTACCCAGACAACTCTTTTTAATGCAGGCCAAATCGCAAAACAATACAAGGCTCTCTGGTGTTCTCCATAATTTGAAAAAAGACTGTCTCTTGAAGCCCCCAGGCTTGAAACTCAGGTTTGTTGCTTCCAACACTAAAGATGGGAAAGAAGCCCTCAGAAAAGGTGATGACCACTTTTGAAGGATTGTTAACCACTTGTCCACGATAGAGAAAGCATTAGGAAGGACTTCCCAGACATCTTTTTGACCATATTCCTTATGAAATGAACCCTGGACGTGCGCTTAGGTTTTCTGAATACCTAAGCACCCACTAGTAGATTAGTTTATTAACCAAGGAACAGAGGTACCTGAGAAACTATAGGCTGTATGCAAAATCCAATGGAGCTTCTCAAAGTCCGTGTTCCACCATGGAGATGGCAGATGAGACTCATGTCTCCTGAGTGAGGAATGCTAATCACCGCTGCCCCGAGACAAACTAATAAATTGGTCATAATTTCCCTTCTTATCATAGAAATCACCAAAGCAAAAGAGATCTCTGCCCAAGCCTCAAAGAGTCACCAGTCTGCTGCCTCTGTCTTCCACTACGGAGAGTAAACTGGGGGTAAAAATTTCGCTGACTCCAGGAGAAGGAAATGATCACTACTGTGTAGTTCCAGAAGAGCACACCTCCTGAAGTCCATATTCACAGAAGTGCCTGAGAAGGCGTTAATACAATTATTATGATATGTCAGGGACCCATCATTCAGGATGCTAACATCAGGAAGAGTCAGCAAGATCTCCAAAATAACACCTTTCCTGTCTGTCACTAAACAACCCGTATCCCTTACAAGGTGGTAAACTTTAGTCACCCAGGAGTTAGCGGGGTACCTCACAGACTAGGTCAGCAAGAAATAAGCTACCTAAAATCCAATATGGAGAGAGCAACGAGGATCACATTGTCAGGTCCGCCTCACCTTTTCTGATGGTCACAGCATGTAACTGTACCATGATGGAGCGCAGACTCACATTGTCCCGAGGTTAGTCTTCTGCAAACATTAAACTGACAGGCCATAGTCCCGAAAGTGAACATGGATATCTTCAGTATGGGACCTAATGCCCCAACAGTTCCATTGCACAAGAGAATATATAAGGAAACTGGAGTTCCATGGAGCCACTTAACATCCATAGAGGAAACCCTAACAAGAGAGTCTGTTCACTTTACCTTCATGACCATGTAATGGTCACGGAGGCACACTGCAAAGTGTTTCCAGTCATTCAGAACTTCAAACTAGTTAGAGATGACCAGGTCTTTTGGGCAGGAGTAGTTTTGACATTTGCACAGCACTTTGACTGTGTAAGTCACTCAGTATTCATAGCCCAAAAAATAAATACAACATACACACACAATCCTCTACTGGGCCTTAGGATGACCAAGACCCCTTGAAAGGCGGAGCATCTGACAAGGCCAAGGACAGCAACAACTGGTTTCCAGGTCAAGTGTTTCTTGGTCACTACCATGAAACCTGTCTGTGTAGGGGTCACCACGGGTCACTTCTGCAGAGTAACCAGGAGTGGTTGGTGCCTCGACAGACACAAAAGTTAAAAGACAACGAGGAGAAAGAGAGAGAGAGCAGAGCAAAAGTGTTGAAAGAAAGAAATGGAAGTCCACCAATTGACTAACCAAAAGAATCTGCTGTTCTGCCACGACAGGGCACAACTTGTGCCCTGCACGACAAGTAGCTCGCCCAGAATTAGAAAGCAAGGTTTATTAAAATGAACCATTTAGACAAAGAGCGTCAGAGGTGCTAGCAGCATTTGGCTAGTAATGGACAAGAGAAAACTGGCAAGAAAACGTCAAGAGTTGCTCACCATTAGTCGCCACTCCTGAGTTCCCAGGTGACCTTCAGTAACACTCGTCACCTGACAGCCACAGGATTTACTACTTAATGTGCCGTCAGGTGGTCCATCAGGTCCACCTGTCGATCCAGTCCCCTCTGGGTACTGTGTGCCATCTCAGTGTTGCAACTAGTCCGAGAACGGAGAGACTAATAATGACCTCTTCAGCAATTTCCTGGAGCAAAATTTAACGAATGAGAAAAAATAATGCTAATAATAATAATAATAATAATAATAATAATAATAATAATAATAATAATAATGGAGGGGTAGGAATCCTGGGCTCTTAGGTTAAGCCGTTCAAACCTTGGCACCACGATAAATGACCCAGCATCCGGACAAAAGGCTTCCTAACATCTACCGTTTATGAGACTCGTTTTGATATTAAATTTTCCTCAAACCTGGTGATTTGTTGTCATAATATTACACTCCACGTGGAGTACAATCTGTGACGTTGGGATCTGCAGCATAACCACTTCCTCCCAGGTATAGGAAAACTTGCCGAGCACCACGAGATGTCTTGTGCCCGGAGATGGTTACAGAGGAAGTTAGTGACGTGGGAGAACACAGGCGTTCTACTGGTAGGTGCGGACATGACGTCACAGGTTAATATCCCATGGGTGGGTCAGGTGACGGGGTGTTCCGGCCTCACCCTGGGTGGGGGAGGGTGGCGACACCCGGGAAGGAGGCTATGGCGCCAATGGTCGGGGGAAGATGCCTGACCTTGCCAGGGGTGTTAGGGGTAAACTCTGCAGTCTGCACCAGTCATGGCCTAGTGCTGGCCACCAGAGGACGTGTGTTCTGCGCTCTCCTGCCACACCACACACACGCACTCTTAGGAGCCTCGTATCCTCCACACAACTGTTAGCAATAAGGTAAGTTCACCTTTGGTTTACGGAGCCTCAGGCCCCCGCATCCTACCTCTCACTCAACCTTCAATCAGCGTTTTAGCTCGTAATTTTTATTGACAACATAATCCTTATTATAAAGTACTCAAATATTTCTTACAGCCAGTAGCATAAATTTGCACAATGGTTCTGAAGTCACATAGATGTTTTAAACACACATTATGCATTATTAACTTACGATAACGCAATAAAGTCAAGAAGCGTACATTTCTCAGCGTATGTATGCTGGAGTTCAATTTAAACCTTATTTTACGTATTAAAGTATTCTTGTCTGGTGGTGAACAGGTTACGTGCAGCGTTAATGAACGTAGTGCAGCCGATAGGTTTTAAACCCCAGTAATCAACCAAGGTCAAACAGTGTGACTTGTATTAATGAATGAAGTGTAGTTGATAGCCTTTAAACTCCCCAGTAATCAACCAAGGTCAAACAATGGAACCAGTGGAATCCTTAATCAGGTTAAACGCCCCCGAAATTTATTTACCTTAGTTTGTGCTGAGATGAAACACCTGGATGCCACTGAAACATCCCAACTTAGATCTACATAAATATACGAGTGTTAACATCACGTGGCCCACATGACCGTCCACTGTAAACAAACTTTATCTACGTTACCTAGCGATGATATACTAAAAATCTTAGTTATGTTTCATAATTGTTCTTCTCGCTGTCTCAGGTCAACGTCGCGGCGTGTCTTCCATATATTTTTTTTTCCTGCAGTAAATTATATTTGTGAACGTAGAGGCATGAAGAAAATATTGAAAACAGCGTAACCTGTGAATTAAATAAGTTTAAAATGGAAATAGAATTACAAGGGTCTTGCGATGATTATTGATGGTCACTAAAGTATCCTAATTTGTTACTCTTGAACTCTTAATATTGGTTATTTAAATTTCAAAATAAAGAATTTAACAAGTTCTTGTATTAACTGATAAACACTGCCGGTTGGTAAATATTTAATTTGTAACGACACGAAAAATACTATACAGGCAATCGTAGGTGGAAGAGTTTGTTAAGGTACGATATGAGAAGGGGACCGTAGACGACGTGTTGATCCATCCTGGACTATTATCCAAACTGATCCTTCTAAATTGGGGGTTATTTGTGTAAGTTTATCTGGGTACAGGTACATGTAAATACATTTACACAAATTGTCATATATAATAAAAATTAAGACACATGTGTAACATCTGGGTATCTTTATTGTAGACGTTTCGCCATATAGATACCCAGATGTTGCACAAGTGTCTTAATTTTCATCTTGTCGGTATTATATACCATTCTTGTACATCATACATAGTAACATATGTGTAAATTACATAGGATTCCCCCCCCCCCCCCCCCCCGAAAAAAAAGTCAGACCAAGTTACTAATTTCCATGGGGATCCTTGTGAATCTTATGAACCTGCGCAGTGAGGATTTAAATTATCATAAATAAGTTTGTATACTCCTGTATAAAGACGTTAGGAAATATGTGTTACATGACTCTCGGCTTAAAATAAACAGTGTTACAGAGCGTAACACCAGAAGTTTTCCATGTCAGGTGTTGAGTGAACGGAGGCTACAGCCAGATGCTTCCACCATTATTATGAGACGATGAGAGAAAAGTGGTTAGAAAACATATCAGGGTAACACTTTTGAAGACAGGCAGCGTCACAGCTGTGAAAGTAAAGATATCCTCATCACAGCATTCTTGTAGACAGGCAGCATCACAGATGTGAAGGTGAGAATAATCTTACTACCACATTCCTGTAGAGAGGGAACGTCAGGGCTGTGCAGATAGGATAACCTCATCACAACATTTTTGTAGACCAGCATCATCACAGCTGTGAAGGTGAGGGTAATCCCATCACAACATTCTTGTAGACCAGCATCATCACAGCTGTGAAGGTGAGGGTAATCCCATCACAACATTCTTGTAGACCAGCATCATCACAGCTGTGAAGGTGAGGGTAACTTCATCACAACATTTTTGTAGACCAGCATCATCACAGCTGTGAAGGTGAGGGTAATCCCATCACAACATTCTTGTAGACCAGCATCATCACAGCTGTGAAGGTGAGGGTAATCCCATCACAACATTTTTGTAGACCAGCATCATCACAGCTGTGAAGGTGAGGGTAATCCCATCACAACATTCTTGTAGACCAGCATCATCACAGCTGTGAAGGTGAGGGTAACCTCATCACAACATTTTAGGAGACAGCCAATAAACAATTAGTTATGGAAACAAAATATGAGATTATATTTAGATTTTTACCGCCGAAGAGGCACATATCCATCCTGTGGATGGTAGTGGCTAGTTGATCGTGCACCTCATATCTGTGGTGCGGTATTGGCTAGTTTATTGTGCACCTCATCTCCAGTGTAGACAGTAACGCAAGATCATGTAGATACACGAAGGACCTAGTAATTAGGCCCTACAAGGATTAACACGAGTACATTTAGGTGTTAACATTGTTGAGGAGTGTACGGAAAGAAAACCAGTTTGTCATTGGACGCAAATTGGAGATTGTACCAGAGTATAATGTTCCCAACACGCCAGTATGGGTGTCTTTGACTATTCTGCTACAAGCAGGAGGCTGAAGGCAGTAATGCTACTTTTGAGTTCAATGTATGGTGTGATTTTTGTGTTGGTGTGATTATTGAAGACGATCTGGTGGTATGAGAGCTATCAACATAACAATTTAGTAATTTCATTAATGTTAGATATATTACAGAAATTAGAAAAATTCAGACTAACCTTATATATGCAGGACATGGCAGGAGCTACATATATGACCTGTATAAGCATGGTTACGTTGCTGTTGGGTTTGGAGCATAATTATACTATGCTAAATGTTGTGAATAGATTCATCAATCAATATGATATAACTGGAGAGAAAAGTGTTTTTTAAGAAGCTTCTGCTTGTTTGACCGCTTGTTTGACCGCTTGTTTGACCGCTCTGGCTGAAAATCTATTAAGTAAGATAAGAGGTCCCGGGAAGACAGTGGTAGATGGCAGGTGACCACGATACGTCAGCCTTGTGGGCAGGTCAGTTAGTTACCGTTAATTAAGTCCTATCATCTACACGAGGAACATTAACGCCGCTGTCCCTCTCCCTTTTCTTCCTGTACACTAACACTAAAGACAGTTTATTCCCTGAAATAAGGACTAGAGTAAACTCTCAGTGTATATAAACACATATAAACTCCTGCGTATACACCCGGACAGGTCAGAAGTGTCCACCGAAATAACTAGGTCAGCTGAAGTAAATAACCGAGCAGTCAACGTCTCACGCTCAAGTGTGAGTGGAAATTTCTCCGGATAATTTACCCAAGATAAACCAGAAGAGTCAAGCAGTGTGGTTTATTATGTAAATGGTTTAAAAATCGAAAAAGCGATGAATGAGGTGCTTGTGAAAACACTTGGGGATATTCGGGAAAAACGTTTCGCCAGTGGCTTATCGTTAATACGCAAAAAAAGGGTATATCTGTTAACGGGGGGGGTTTCCGGGGAGGGGGTCAACGCCCCGCGGCCCCGATCCAGCCAGGTTTTCTCTTTTGGGTCGGGGCCCTGATAAACCGGTTTACTGCCAGTGCGCGAAAACCCCGGGAAAAACCCAGCCCGGCTGGTCAGGGGGAAAGATTAAAGTAAAGGTCTGAATAATCCCCAAACTCAGAGTCAATTTTTAAAATTTCATTACAATTCCGTTTATTTTTTTTAAATTTTAAAATTACTTAATTTTTTTATTCAATTATTTTTTTGAATACTTATTTACATGAGTTAAAATCATTTTTAAAATGCTGGGAAAATAAGCAACATTAGTTGTTTGTTGTTGAAAAGAATTATTGTTTTTTTCGTTAGAAAAAGAAATTATTTTTGTTTTTGAACAAAAAACTTACTTGTTTGTTCAGTTTAGAAAAAGAAATTACTTGTTTGTTCATTTTAGAAAAGACTTATTGTTTGTTCAGTTAGCAGACATTTTTGTTTGTTGTTAGAAAAAAAATTTTATTTTTTGTTAGTTAGACAAAAATTTTATTGTTTGTTCAGTTTGAACAAAAATTTTGTTTGTTCAGTTAGAAAAAGAACTTACTTGTTTGTTCATTTTAAAACAAGAACTTACTTGTTTTTTTCTTTAGAAAAAGAACTTAGTTTGTTCATTTAGAACAAAAAATTTATTGTTTGTTAGTTAGAACAGAACATTATTGTTTGTTCAGTTAGAAAAAAAATTATTGTTTGTTCTTTTGAAAAGAACTTATTGTTTGTTGTTGAACAGAAAATTATTTTTTGTTCGTTAGAACAAGAACTTTACTTGTTTGTTCAGTTGAACAAGACTTTATTGTTTGTTCAGTTAGAACAAAAACATTTTGTTTTTAGTTAGAAAAAACATTCTTGTTTGTTCAGTTAGACAAGAAATCATTTTGTTTGTTCAGTAGAAAAGAAATTATTGTTGTTCGTAGAACAAGAAATTACTTTGTTTAGTTAACAAGCTTTACTTGTTTGTTCTTTGAACAAAAACATTATTGTCTGTTCAGTTGAACAAGAACTTCTTTTTGTTCGTTAGAACAAGAACATTACTTGTCTGTTCGTTAGAACAAGAAACATTATTTGTTTGTTCGTTGAACAAAAACTTATTGTCTGTTCAGTTAGAACAAAAACATTACTTGTTTGTTCAGTTAGAAAAGAACATCATTGTTTGTTGTTAAAAACAAGAACTTTACTTGTCTTTTCGTTAGAACCTGGAAAAAGTGCAAAAAATTTCGCAAGTCCCCAAGGGCGCGAGTTTAAAAAAATGAAAAATCTTTGTTGCATATATTGAGTATGTTGAATCAAAGACATAAGTTCGTAATTATTTGTTTTCCATTCATGCAATTTAAAAAGGGAAAATGTACCCCAGAGGGAGAAAATTGAGAAATTTTTGGCTTTTTTAGAAAGTTTTAGTGTGTTATTTTAAAATGTCAAATAACAAGTATATTGACTTAAATG